TTTATTTTTTATTTTATTTCAAAGAAGGAGGTATGGAGAAATTTTTAGTGATGAGTTGGACAGTTGAGGAGCCTATTGAAGATACAAGAATTATATAAATAAAAAGGTTATGCATATAAGAAGGTTTTGATATACGGATATTTTCAATGAAGTATAATAATTTACGATAGTTACTACAAGTAAAAGATCCAATACAGTATTGTGGTCTTACCCTAAGGTATAAGTTAAATTTTGAGGTCAGTTTGATACAAGTATCATTACGACTCAACCTTTGAAGGGTAGATAGAAGTGGTAGATCACTTGTTACCAACGATAATGAGCCACTTGAACGAAAATAGCTTTTAGTCGATTGAAATAAAGTGTATTTAGAATTTTGTAGTTCAAAATAGATTGTAAAACAAATATTTATTAGAGCCTGTCTTCATTTTTTAAACGTTGCCCACACTATGAAATTCTTCTGTATCGTAGGTGAAAACAACTATTTGTGGATCACACGAAGAGTTCCGTACGGGAATCGAACCTGTGACACGTTGCGTGTCAGCTAAGTGTCCAGCCACACAGCCAACCTTGAAGTGGAGTTGAAAAAACCTACTTAATTATGTTACATAAATTAATACTTAATTAGGTTTAAAATTCCCTGAAGAATGAATATATGGTCGCCTTAAATAAAGATTATCTGACTCTGGTACTAATCGTAAAAGAGCTTTTTGAAAAGTATTGCATTGCCGGAGTCGGTTTTTCCTGATAGTTACAATCTCGGTATCTTTAAGTCAAGAGTGAATAGGTTACTTCTTGGTAAGCGCGCTCCATCGTCGACCGCATCGTCGCTTTCCATCAGGTGAGATAGCGGTCAAGCGCGAACCTATAATCAATAAAAAAAAAAGAAAATACACTTGGCAGCATTGCCAAACAAGTAGATGTCCAAATCCTTCCCAGCCCCCCATCTATCCCCAATAGGGATTTCAAATCTCCAAAACCCTGGTCCATAAAAGTCGGTGCGGCGACACTGATTGCTCACCATCAGATAATCCATCTACTCTTTTGCTGATCTATTAAACAAGAAAAAGAAGTATAGGAAAACCATATTCTGTCACAAATAGGCCGACTCGACGTTAGTATTGCTGCGGCCTCATAGAAAACAGGCGTGAAACAACCTAGGCGTCGTATTCCCTCTCAAAAGAAGCCACGGATAATGTCGGTATTGCCATATTTTTGGGTCCACTGACCTCACAAATGACCGCGCTCTAAAACATATGATATATTACGTACCTTTAACTTAACCTTACATGTCAACCCTACTCAAATGACATGAAAAACATTCTGAACTGCGTCGTTGGTCTAAAGAATATCTATTCTATCTAAACTACCACACAAGAGATTTCGGATGTATTCCCGAGTTGGAGAGTAAGTTATGGTCTTTCGGACCGAAATAAGAAACCGTAGTAGGTACTTATAAGTTATTTGACCATGATCATAGGTGCGTACCAGTTGCATCACTTTAGACGAATCTTTTATCAATCCACAAAAAAACAAGTACTAGAAATACTATGCTGAGACTAACATTTTTTTAAAGCCTGATGCTACTTCTTAACGCTCCCAGAGTGGGAGAAGTCATTTTATGATTTTCATCATCATCAACTTATAAGTGTTCCCTGCTGAGCAAAGGCGTCTTCACACACGGAGAAGGTTTGAGCATTAATCACCCCGCTTACTCAAAGGTGGATTGTCGATTTCAAACTTATAATTAGAAATTATAAGTCCAGGTTTCCTCACGATGTTTTCCTTCACCGTATGTCAGTGGTGTCTAAATAATTATAGAAAGTACATAATATAACTCGGAAAAAGTCACTGAGTACTTGCCAATTTTCAAAACCTCATGCATGAAAAGCGGGCACTTAAACCTCTGGACCAACACGACAATACCATTCACACATCAAAAAGACCCTGTTCCTACTACCAAATAGAAAGCAAAAACAAAATTAACACAAAAAACAAAAATAAAAAATGTAACATGATGTTTTACTTTACAAAACAAATAAAACATGGTCAGATTTCCCGGCAATTTGTTTTAATAAAGTAATTAAATATATTAATAGAAGTTGGTGGGTCGCATAAAATGTAAGAACTGCGTGTAATCAGGGTTGCGTGACCCCCTCTGCTGACCCTCCAAAGGAAGTGTCGTGATGGATGACGTTACAGTTACTATGCAGGTTTTTTTTTTATTTTGTTTTCGCGTAGGGTTGCCGCGTTAAAGGTTAGTATTGTGTCTGATGATATGGGTGTCGCGTTTATCTTTTGGTCGTGTTATAATTTGAACTCGAGTGAAATAAATTGTTATGTGAAAACTTTTTAACATACATATATCAACCTTTCATAACTGTTAACACGTTAAACGCCATGGGGGTCACCGGTGACCTCCGTTAGCGGAGGATTTGCCTTCAACAGTTTTCTGTCGGCAGTCAAAGGGAAGTTAGAAAAAAGTATGCAAGTAAAAAAAAATTGTCCACTAATCGTATATTTTATTAAAACAAAATATCTTTTTACAATAGTCGCCCTTAAATTAATATGTATATTTAGGTATAACTGTTGTTTTATATAATCAATCGGCGTCACCCATGATACCCGCAACACAAGAGGAATTCCGAGTCACAAAATCACTTTTCGAATTGATCATCAAGGTATGATGATCAATTCGAAAAGTGATTTTGTGACTGGGAATAGGAAGTATTGAGCCTTCGGTAACCTCACCCACATGGCGACACACAACGCTGTGATTGCTGCACGCCAGTTTTCTGTGAGACATATTCGTGCCGAAGCTTGGCTTTCCCACACTTTCTAGATTCAAACCTACACAAATGCAAAAAGTTATAAATTAGCATACCTACTTATAAACAACAACTAAAAAGAAAGCACAAAGCCAAATATTATCCTCGAGCCATTATCCAGTTTCCATTATATCCATAAATAATTCACCAACTAATTTCTCACAAATAATAAAAATAAGTAGGTAAATAAAACAATCACACGTAGAGTGTGTGACAACCCTACAACGAACACTACTTATTCTCTGACACGTTTCAGAATGACATCTCTAGCTCTGACACTTATCAGAATGACATCTCTAGCCCTAACACGACGTATAATAATCAGAATGTTTGTTTTTATTATGTTAACATGAAAAGAAAGTACACAAAAACTACTTATATTGTTTATATTGTATTACTCGTAGATTATATTATGATGTCATATATCTAGTTGTATATCATCTTTTTATCGTAATTGTCAGTGTGATTAATGTTCTAATGCTTTGTGTTAGAATTTGACCTATTCCTATTATTTAACTTAAACTTTCTGATATTAAGTGTTACACTACACTTATAAAAAAGCACTTACAAACATAAAAAGTAGTATCGCACCGGTTACGGGAGGGCTCCAAGCAACCGGTGGTCAGGGCTCCTGAGAAAGGAATCTCCGGACAAATTGACGATATAACCACTATATATATATCTAATGATTATATACTCGTGAGTAAATGTAAACATCGTGAAGAAACCTGGACTTATAATTTCTAATTATAAGTTTTAAATGGCCAACCCGCATTGAGCAAGCGTGGTGATTAATGCTCAAACGTTTTCCGTGTAAGAAGAGACCTTTGCTCAGCAGTGGGCACTTATAGGCTGATGGTGATGATAAGTGTAACGTTATGTTTATATTGTATTTAAATATTATTTCTGTACTAGGTCTATCTTTATTGTCATATCTGTAAACATCGCATATTCCTTCAGAAATTAAAAGCCTAAACACTGTATATTATTATGTATAATAATCACGAAACATTGAATGAACAAAATATATTTCTTAGAAAATTTGAAATTCAGTATCTACAGCTATTAAGACATTACTTAAGAACACAAATTATTTTCGAATAATTTAGCCGGACCGGTTGTAAGGTAGTGAAGCGGTCGCTAATGGCCACCGGACGTCCGGATCAGCCGTCAAATGAACCGGGTACAATGCCGGATGAGTGTACAAGACGGGAGTGATTACACCCGGGTGTTGACCTGTACTTATGGTAGGAAGTCCAGGTTTAATTGCATAAAAAAAACTACATCAAAAACAAAAAAAAAATAGGTAAAATAGATATTTTAATACCACTCTTACGTACGCGAATTTAATACTTTTAATATTAATAATAAAACACTATCAATTCTATGTGCTACCTTATTCATAGGTTTGGCCAGGGCTTATACGAGGCTTCCCCTTTTTTGAAGTCGGTTAAAAATTATTTCTAAAGACGTACATAGATGTCTATTTTTTATGTAATAGGCTTACGATCAGACGGATTACCTGATGGTAAGCAATCAGCGCCGCCCATGGACTTCCGCAACAGAAAAGAGTTGCGAGTGCGTTGCCGCTTTTTGGGGATTTAGGGATTGTTGGATGGTAAGAATTGGGCCTTTGGTAACCTCACTTACATGACGAAATACAACGCTATTACGTCGGTTTTTTGTGAGGCCGTGGTATCACTCCGATTAAGCCGGCCCAGTCGCGCCTTAGCATGGCTTTCCCACATTATTATTATTTTTATTCTAAACAAATCTTTGATAATCATTTCTAACTTCTGGCAGCAGCTTCTACTGTGTTACTCTGTACTATCAATAATATCATCAATACATATTCAGGAACGCAGAAGAACGGAATCCAAATCCACATTCCGATAAAAAACAGATTACTTCTAAAAACCCTGTAGCTTCGTGAAGCACATTATAAAAGATCTATTACAGAGGTCAAAAGGTCACCAAAATCAGTTTTTTGCTGACAGTCTTAAAATGTTTATATCAGTATGTAGATCTACTTAATGTATTTTAGATTTCTTTATAACTAGTCAACAAAAATAGTATTATAGAGTTTTAAGTCTCTCCTGAAAAAGGGAGCTAGCTCTAGTTGCTGATTATCAACTTTTCCCGAGAAAAATCTTTTAAATAAATTCAAAACCAGCTCAACCTATAACGTAAGCGTTCACTTTATCGATTGCAGTCCCTATCAGTCGATAGATAAGTTTATCAGCAGTTATCAAACATTCTCCTATCACAAGCAAAAATATCATATTTCTGTTGTCATATTTTGAAATATCATATTTTGAACAAATTAATTGTGTTTAGTCTCTTTTGTGAATTTTTTGAGTGTTTTCTTTCGGTTTTAAGTTCAGATTTGTGTATTAAAATGGAGAATGTGGAGGAAAGTTCTGCTGATGTCAAAGGTTTTAATTTGAACCCTTCTAATACCAGGTAAGTCCTAGGTATATTAGAAATATAAGCTAGTCATCACTACATAGTATAAAACAAAGTCGCGTCTGTATCCCTGTGTACGCTTCAATCTTTGAAACTACGCAACGGATTTTGATGCGATTTTTTTGCAATACATAGGTGATCGAGGAGAAATTTTTATAAATATGTATACTTATAGCTATTAAATAGTGTAGAAATTTAGTACAAACATGGCATCGGTACTTACGAAGCCAGCCTTTGTCGCCAGTATATTAAATATACATTTTAGTAATATCGATAAAATGTTTCAATTAATTATATATAGTATTTAATAGAAATATCGGCAATCAACAAAAGAGCGTACCCTTTTTTTTAAATATTGTGATGCGAACGCCCACTTTTCATGAACTACAGAAATTGTTTTAAAAACAATATACTTTTTTAAATAAAAAGAAAGATACTGCCAAAAAAATGTATTCGAAATTTTTCAAGTAACTAGAATTAATTTCGAAAATGCTAACTTAAAGCTGTGGCTGAAATTTGAAATTTGAAATTAGAAATTGTTTTAAAAACAATATACTTTTTTAAATAAAAAGCAAGAAAGATACTGCCAAAAAAATGTATTCGAAATTTGATTCTATAAGCAAACCAATTCCAAATAAACTACGTTCAAAAATCATTTGAATACAAACATTTTGGATCCAAAGAGGTTGTTTATCATTTTAGGCCGGTGATACAGAAAATTATCTCTGATTTTATCTATTGTAACAAAAGACATTTCTTTTTTCATATATACATTTTATACTTTTTCAGTAACCCCCTGCTGGTCCCAGACGAGGTCGGCGTGAAGTTTGACCCAAATGCCTTGTACTACGACATGAGCGGTGACAAGTACCTCATAATACTGAACCAGCACACCTTCAAGAAAACCATTTATTTCCAGTTTGTATATTTTATTTTATTTGCACAATTCCTAGAATTAACTCAAGATGAAATCTCGCCTTTTTGTAGCCCAGAATACACAAATTATTAGTTGCGTTAGGATTCCTATGAACCATTAACAAAGCCCATTATTAAATTAAATTTTGATTTTTTTAGTAATTTAAAACGTACGTACTACATACTTTGTCAACGGCTCTGGAATCGAAACAGAGTTCTACCGAATTGTACTTTACATTTTAAACATTGTGTGTCATCTATCTCTCGAGCCCGTAGCGTGGCTTGAAAACAGTCAAATTAAACCGATACTTGAAGGAAGCCGTTAAAAATTATAATTTTAAAGAAAATACATAATGATTTTTTAAGTGTCTATGTTTGAAAGGGCCGTTAGGTTATCTTAATCTTAAAGTCGAATCCCACAATTATTACAGAAACAAGCAGCCATCAACAAGAACCGGCACTGACAATGACGTGAAGAGTTTGAAAGCCATTTTCGGAAACCTAGGGTTCGAAGTCATCGTTCTCAGAGATCTGGAATATTCAGACATTATCAAAAATTTAACTGCAAGTAAGTTTTCTGGAGGTCATTCCAAATTTTCCTTTTTTCTCGTTAAGTAGTAGGGAACAATACTTGAAAGATACGTCGCAGGCCAAAAAATTTTTGTGTGATCCACGGATTGTTGTTCCGGGTCTGATTGTGATGTGTAAGTGAATCGTATGTTTGTAAACGCATCAACGACACAGGAGAAAATCCTAGTGTGAGGCAACGTTTTTTTTTAAAGAAAAAGAAAGACAGAAAGATCTGATGTATCCTTTCGACCCACCAATGCAAGGGGGAGTCATTGGATGATTTACGCTCCTAAGAAAAAACCTCTTAGTCACAAACTGTTTTAAAAACCTCAAAAATCGACTAAACGATATCAGCCCACCATTCCTTATTTTGCCAGTTGCATCTAAAGACCACTCGAAGACATCATGCATCTGCATCACGATCCTCACTCACGGCGACAAGGGAGGTGAGGTGCACGCGGCAGACCGGCCGTATTTACTCACTGATATCATGGCCATCTTCGAAAAACAGTTGAGTCTCGTCAACAAGCCAAAATTGTTCTTTGTGCAGGTAAATTTTGTCGTTGACTGGATCTTGAATTTATAATAATACTGTTCGATCCTGTATGGTATATACTATTGTATGTACCTTCCTATAAAATAGAATCGTCATCATTACCCCTTCTGCTAAAAAGAGTGTTTAAATAGACTCTGCACTGATCAAGCTGGTTGCAAATCACAGTTTAAACGAACTATGGTTTTCAGGGAATACTATTGCCCGTCTATGTCTCACACAAATCATTATTATTATTACTCAAACAATAATTACTATTGACTGACATATGTACATAATTACATGGCCATATACCATACATAATTAAAGAAGATGGCCCGATTGAAGAAGAGAAGAACTCCTCACACTTAAATGTGACAAAACGAACAGACGATTAACTGATGGCAAGCAATCGTCGCCGCCCATGGACAGTCTCGCAATACCACAGGAACGCAAATGCGTTGCCAGCCTTTTAAGGATAACGAGTTTTAGGGACTTAGGGATTCGAGAGGAAGGGCGGAAGGAAAAATTGGGCCAGGCTATAATCGATTAAAAACCTTGATATACATCATTTAAGGTCTCTAACATACCTAGTCTTAAAAAAGATCTTTAAAATTTGACCTATTATTATTTTCCTAAATCTCAATTTAAATTCCTTGCAGGCTTGTAGAGGCGCTAACATGGACGCCGGTAACACCGTAGCGCTGGACAGCCAGAGCGACAGTGTCCTCACCATTCCAACACATGCCGACTTCCTCGTTCTGTGCTCCACTGTGGAAGGTTAGTCTTAATATTAAAAATCACAACATATATAAAACAAAAGTTATTTATTCAAATATCCTTATGTATGCTTAATCTTTTAAATGACGCAACTGACTTTGATGACGCTTTTAATAGATACAGTGATTGAAGAGAAAGGTCTAATTACTTTATATGTATGAAAGGTGTGGTTGTTCGCCTTCTTCCATCTTCCAAGTAAACGAAATAAGGCTTCTGGCGTTATCTCTGTTTTATTGTGATTCCAGTCTTGATTAAATCAATCGAAAATAATCATACACTGCCCTGATTAAAACGGATTTCTTATTTCGGAACGCGGTGAAGTCGGTCGCACGCTGGCACACCCACACGGCTCGTATCTCGTTCAAAAAGTGTGGTGGCGGCCACTTCGCTGACAGCTGACAGCCCTCAGTGTTGCCAACGCACATTCCGAATACACCCAAGTCGATGTTGGCTTGACGTTCCGTTTTTCATTCTCCGACATGTATGTACATATACATATAATAACATCATAAATAGTGGGAAAATTTAGTACCAGCATTGCAACCCTATGAAGCCGAGGCGGTCGCTAGTGATACTTTAAATTCTAAAATAACGTCACTGAAAAATATTGGGGTAATTTCGAAGACCAATAATATTCACTGTCATTGTAATTAAATTCTTATTGCAAGGTATATGTCCCTTAAACTTACAAAACACACACTTAACTTCTATTATCACTAAAAACGAAACTTCACATACAATAATATTACAATGATTTCATATTTTTAGTACTTACTATATGTCGATAATCTCAAAAGCCAATGACCCCAACAATATCTCTTTAATCTTCTTATATATAAAAATGAATTGCAAAATGTGTTGGTAAGCGCATAACTCAACAACGCCTGGACCAATTTTGCTAATTCTTTTTTTGTTGTGTTTGTTATTGTCAGGAGAAGATTTTTATCAAATTAATATTAGAAAAGTAGAGGGGAAGATTAGGAAAAAGTGACCCTTTGATAGCGAGATAGTTGGACCGTTGCGAAGCGGGGGCGGGCCGCTAGTTTTATTATATAACCAAAATTTCTCTTTCTCCACAGACCACCTCTCGTACCGGGACATGTACGGATCGTGGATGATCCAAGCCCTCTGCCACGTGATGGAGGAACATCATGAGGACCTGGACCTCCTACACATGATCACCCTCATGAATCGGAAGGTGGCTTACGAGAGAAGCACGTATACTCCTTCAAATAAGGCGATGAATAATAAAAAGCAAATGCCAGAAACACGTTTTACGCTTACCAAGCTGCTGAAATTTTGAAGCAACTCCGAAGCCCGTGTGCTTCGGATGTCGCCTCTGTTAGTTAATAAACTTAGATTTAATTAATAGAATTTGTGTTTTTCTTTTTCTATATTATATTTGTGTCTTGTAAGATTTGCGTCTGAATAAAATTATGTAAAAATTTTTAACAGGACCTAAAACTACGACATTGTTCTAATTAGTAGACCGATCTAGCAAGACTTTTATTTTTCAGTTTCCACTCGTTGTACCTACATATAACTGTTTTTTATCTATTAAACTTTGTGATGATTTGATGATAATTGGTGAGTTTCCTAGGTCAAAAATAAATTAATTCGATGTTTCAATACCATACAATATTGAAAAATAACTGTCTTTTTATTCATCGATCGATCGATACACTGAATTTTAGATAATATTAGCTAATTTTTAAGAAATAAGTATATACTATTTGACGCAAAAGAACTATGACGTCATAACTCAGTTTTTCATACAATTTCATAGAAAAGTGTATTTTTTTACGTTTTGATAATATAGTATTGAATTTGACTACTTGGAAACTACCGTTTTGCGTTTGCGTAGGTACTTCACAAGGCTTTATCCAGACTCTCCCGTCGTAAGGATGATAAAATTAATACACTTTACCAAGTAAGTGAGTTAAATAACCCGAAACATATAAACACACATAACCCCAAAAACGAAACTCCAAAAACCCAATCAAAACATTAGTTCGACGCGGAAATTAAAACCGTGACACCTCCACAGTGTTGCCAACTTTCAAAAAAGGACATAAAAGAAATGTAATGACATTATCATGCCATTTAAAAGGAGGCCTATCAGAATGGCAGGAAATGAGTTGCCAGTGGCGGCTACACTTTTAATACTAATCAGAGAAGGTTCCATTAGTAAGGGAACCGATGTTAATCAAATTGTCATCAATCAAAAACTGGTCCTTGCCATCGGGGAAAAAAGTTATATCCGGTAGGGAAATCAAGTTAGATATCGGCCGACGATTACCGGGATTCCTGGTGTTAAGGTAGAAGATTCAAGCGTGGAGAGAAAATAAGCTGTGAATATAATTTCTAAAATTAGGCTGTAAAAGCGCTTTTAGACTAAGGAATGCGACAAAAGGGTTCTAAAATGTTTTAAAGGGAAAAGTCACTTTTGCAAAGTTAAAACAAGAATAGTCCATTATTTTATCCGTCAATAAGGCTGGGCGCTTGTTCCAAAATAAAATGGAGAAGAATGAGAAAAAGAACTTCATCATTACAGTTTAAAAAAACTTTGTTATGTCATGTACAATGGGTGCCGCTATTTGCAGTGGGAAAAATCATCCAATGACATCTAGAAGAAGAAAAAAAGAAAAATCATTTATTCGGTAAAACACCAGGCAAGCACAAGCTATGCATTGCAAATGTGAATGAAAAAAGAGCACAAAATAGATGTAAGTAGGATATACAAAATATCTTACGTTAAAAACTACCAAAAAAGGTTTACATCACCATAAATGCCAGACATATAGTGACTGACGCTGATTTTCAACTGAACCTGTGGCTGTGACGCAATGGACGTAAAGCAGTTATAAGCGTGTGAAACATAATGTATTTTTTTATGTAATATAATAATAAATAGTTCTCCCACCCTGATAGGCGTGAATATCAGACTCTGACTGACTAAAAACTACCACGTTGCTTTTTATACTCCGAGCTGGGACAGCAGCATATAAGTGCCCTTGCACCCACAACCTTAACCTCCAAACCAACGAAATCTTCAAGTCACTTAGCTTGTAACTTGGGCAGATCACAGAGAGGGGGTCTAACAAAAGGAAATGGAAAGTAGGAGGCTTTACGATGACAATCAAATCTCGAATGATCGCGTCATCAATGTTGTCTGCTGTAGGTGTATTTATTCATCCAACTCCAAGCAAACGCCGGCGTTCGCGCACCTATTATCGTCCTATTGTGTCTCGAGTTAACAAGATTGAAAGGTTTAAAAATTAAAATGAGTATGTATAGTGTGGGACAGACAAACATAAACAATAATAACATAATAGTCCCGTGAAAGGAATGAGTCATTTATTTTATTCCCGATAAGTAAATAATAACAATACAATTCATTTTATTTCATGCAAGTGATTATAAACTATTCTATTAATTAATTATTCAATAATAAAACTTAAGCCGGGCTTCATTTTTTTCTTTTGAGGGACTAAGGACATTTAATGGCTCCTCTCGCGCTTGAGATGGGTGAGGCGAGGAGGAGTGGCAGACTCTTTCTGACTATTCTGTTCCTTTTCTTGCTTCAGGCCTGGGCTCAGAAAGCGGCGTAAAGCAACAAACTTACGTTGTGTTTCAATGTGTGTATGAAGTTACCAGGGGCCCAATCCTCTAACCACAAGCCGTAAATCCCTAATATCTAAAATCCCAATGCACTTTTCACTCCTCAATATTGCGGGTGTCCATAGGCGACGCCGATTACTTATCATCAGGTAATCTTTCTCCTCCCTTGACTCCTATCCATAAAAAAAATCCGGAGTGGTTCAATAATACTTTGCACGACTCGGAAAGCAAATCAAAACCCACAAGTTTAGTTAACACAAGCATTTGTCCATCATGTCATCATCATAATTTCCCATTGGGAATATGAATCTTATTAACAATAAGTGTCTGACTAGTTAATTAATACCTGTTAATATTCTCATTAATAATAATTATTACCCTGATTGCCAATTAACTGTCTAGGGAGATCTCGGTAATTTGCTTACTGCGTGATTTGTTGTGACTATGATATCCATATGAAGCCGCAGTAGGTATAATATATATTATACATGATTTTTTTGGAGTGTGGCCATTCTTCGATTCCAATGAACCTGATATAGATCGGAGCAATACCGCGGTCACACTGAAAACCACTAGAACCGCTTCTCCTGCGTCGTGGGTGCATTATTAGCTTTTATCCGCGACTCCGATCGCGTGAAATAGTGACTGCATAATTTTGGTATAAAAACTATCCTACGGCCTTTCTTGAGATCCAAACTACATCTGTACCAAATTTCACAGAAATTGGTACAGTAGTTTAGGCGTCAAGAAAAGACAGACAGACAGAGTTACTTTCGCATTTATAATATTAGTTTGGATTTCACATACACATCACACCTAGACCCAGAACATTGTTTGTGGATCACAGAAACAGTTGTTCCGTACGGCAATCGAACCTGCGAAAAATTACGCGGCAGCCAGTTGCCCGGCCACCCCGCCAATAGGAATAGATACATCGGGTGATAACTTTGCTCGTTTATCACTATTCATTTATAGACGCTTCTCTGCTTTATTAAATTCCGTATATATTAAACACAAAATGAACAACAAACTTCAAACCCTATTTATATTAAAACAAAGCCCAATATACAAACAAAAACAACAACGTTCCTAACAACCTACCTACTTGATCAAAAATGGCGCCCATTTTCTAGGGGTCGTCAGTTCCATTGAATAAGTAACAGAGTCAATTTAACTTTCTATATGACTTCGGGAGCGCGTTCCTTTGAGACCAGATGCTGTGTTTCATAATCCGAAATTATATTAATGTGCAATTAAAAGGGTTGTGCAAACCTCCGTAGAAAGAGGGTATTGTTCATATTGTGTTAGTAACGCCACCTATTGGTGGGACTGAGAGTTACGCGTTATTAGTTTATATTCTTGTTGATAGATGGCGTTATAAAATTTCAATACGGTCAACTGTCATTCAATTAAAAACTCCGATTTCTATCTCAACAGAACCGACATTATCACACTTAAGTAATGCAAAGTCAAAGCTTTGAGATGAGCTGACAGAGCTATTCAAGTGACAGCGTGCAAGTCACAATCGTAGGGAATCAGAAGTCCTAAGAGTTAAGTGGAAACCTCGTCTAACTAAACATTTGTGTAGAACACTCTTGTGCTAGTTGAAGTGACAATTTCCGCAAAATGGCCGGCCGTTGTTAAATGCTAAGCTAAAGCTAAGCTTATGATCGAGCAGGAAACGTCATCAAATACAAAAACATTCAGTCTGGTCTTGCAAATTGCGTAAATCCATAAAAATATAAATAACCAAGTAACTACATTGCAGCAACCATATCTTTTGGTTTCCGCAAGATATTTAACAATAAAAGGGGTAATTTTGTTTAAATGAAAAGCTATGAATGTCGCTGTGATGGGTTGGCTCGAATACAGCCGCTGAATTACTAACAGTATGTGAATTGCAAACACCCTGTAAATTGGAACGGATTAAAAATGGTCGCATTTACACCGAAGCGTTCGTGTACTGTTATTCAAATATTAAATGCTTTTATGTTCAGTGTTGTTTTCAACCTTATTTAAGAGTTTATTTACTTTCTTTGACACATGTTTAAATTGACTAGACATCTTACTAATATTATAAATGCGAAAGTTATGGACGGATCTGGATGAATTTTGGCAAAGGCATAGGATAGACTCCGGAATAGAGCATAGGCTACTTTTTTATAAACATACTACGCGGGCGAAGCCGCGGCCTGAAGCTAGTAATAATATAAGCATTGATTTACCCTGTTAAGAGATAGACATCGTCATAAGGTAATAATAAGGTATTAAGACATTGTACTTGTTAATAAACTTTATATATAATGAACAATCTCTATCCCCTGTCTGAAACAATATAATAATATATATGAATATTTAATATTTAATATTTTATCGATTCCACATTGCTCTTTTGCGCGAATATTCTCACATTCATGCAAAGCGATGTCAAATATATTCCTCCTTCGTTTCATGAAATCCTAACCAAACCAGAAAGGGGTTTACCACGATATTTCAGCCTGGAATAAGTGCTAGATTAATTCGTGTCTAGGTCTGTGGAGCCGACGTACTCAGCCGACATATTTGCTCACGTAAGCTGCTGAAACTTTACATTTAATAACTGAAAGACATATTCAAGTAACTAGAATTAATTTCGAAAATGCTAACTTAAAGTTGTGGCTGAAATTTGAAATTATATTTTATTAGTGAAAGACATGTAATTAATACTTCTACCTACAAGTTAAACTTTAACTTATTTCCAATTTATAATTCTGAAAGATCAGTTTTTTTTTAATTC